ATAAAGGGGTTTCAGATCAGTGAGGTCAGCTTGTGATCCACCTTGTTCAACCGCCTGGTGCCCTCTCTAGCGCTCTCAACTCAACTTCAAGAGGGCCTGATCAGCCGTAGGCTGCTCCAACGTGACAGCGAAGCACCCCCCCTTCTCCTCCCCCCCCCATTCGGCCGCTGTGCTCCATGTTGCACGACTGGCACGTGCTGCTTCCCCTCCTCCAGGACCCATAACCTCCAAAGGTGCCTCATCAGACCACACACAGTTGCAGCTGGGGTGTTTTGTAGAAATAAACGGGCAAGTGAAGCCAGTCTCCTCCCGGCCTTTACCCCCAGCATGCACCCTTCCCTTCCCGCCATGCCATGCTCTTGTTGCCCTTCCCTCTCTCAGGGCCCTCAACTCTGAGGGAGCCATTCACCTGTACCGGCAGCACAATGTGGTAGTGATTCGTGAACCCACTCGCCCTGACCTCCTCTGTCTGTCCTCACAAGAGAGGCTGCTACCTGGCAGGCAGCGAGTCAGGCCAGTGTGGATGCAGCAGCATGGCAGCAATCGCATTTCATTCGTTTAGCCATTCTCAAGTCGAAGAGAATGCGTAGAGCATGCTACGGTAGTAGCATGACAATAATATGATATTCACGTTTCAGCAATGGCTCTTCAGGCGTGAGCCTGCCGAGCCGATGTTCATTATAGTCTTTGGTGTGCTCATCCCGTTGATTTTTCTGCTTCTCGCGTTTTGATTCCCTGAAGCCCTCACCCACGCTTTTTCAACATCCAATAACTCTGCAGTCCCTACTGGGAAACCTTACGTGACCCACACCCCCTTTTCATCAACTAACCTGGGGACCATATGACTTGTGTACCGTGAAAGAAACCCAACCCAGGAAAGGAAGGAAAGAAGAGTAGGCCAGGCAAGGATGTGGAGGTGGCCAGGTAGTTGTTCAGCAACTGGTCAAGTAATGCCATACCACAACCCACACCATACGGTTTATAGGGTATCATGAGTACACATCTGGTGGTCTATTCTTTCAGCAGCATTACCAAAAGCATGAATACATGGAGCATACTGGAGCACAGCTAGCTAACAACTGCATACCGTATGTACAAGTGCCCAGTCACCAGACCAAGGCGAACAAGCAAGGGGGCAGGCTCGCACCCCCATCCCCCGATTTCCATACCAAAGCAGCCAGGGTTGAAATGTCTTATTCTCTGGACACTGATCCTTCACATGCGACCAAGAATGTCCTGTTCCACACTTCCACACCCCCCTCTCCTGCACACTAGAATGGAAGGTCCCACCAGCCGCGCACTGGAAGCAGCACCAGAAGAACCCTCTCCAACCCTCTCCAACCCTCTCCACCGTGCGGATTCCACCTCATGCATTCCACCTTGCCGCCGTTCCTCTCCTCCACACACCCCACGTTCCTGCCTTCCATCTAACGTTCTGCTGCTGCCATGCCAAGTCGCCACATTGGCTGCTCTTGCTCTGGAAATTGGTGCGCTACACTGCTCCATCCAAGTACCCTTCCACATAGGGATTGCTCAATTTCAAAGCAATGCACCACAGCAGCTAAGTCCAACCACCAGGACACACGAGAGAACGCCAGGGACTATCATTCAAAGAGAACGGAACCTCATTAACAGCACTGACGATGCAATCTGCACAAAGGAAGGGGGAGTGACATTAAGAGAGAGAGAGGGCAAGATGTGTGACACATCAAACCCGCGTCAACAAATTGAAACACACACCAACACATCGCAACACACACAAACACGTCCTATTCTGCAAAAAACGAGAAACCAACCAATACCCACTGCATTAACACGCCCTGTTCCATGCCACCCCAGCATTCCTCACTGCATGCACCCACTTCTATCAGCAGCATCACTGCATGCACCCACATCCATCCATCCAGCCTCACTGCATACACCCCTCGATCCAGCATCACTGCATGCACCCACTTCCATCCATCCAGCCTCACTGCATACACCCCTCGATCCAGCATCACTGCATGCACCCACTTCCATCCATCCAGCCTCACTGCATACACCCAGCTCCATCCAGCCTCAATGCATGCACCCACCATTATCCATCCAACCTCACTGCATGCACCCACCTCCATCTAGCCTCACCAAGTAAGTACTGGCCACCTCCCACGTTCACCCGCTGACTCCAGTCCTTCCTCTCCCCAGCGATCTACCGTCGATTCGTCCACTCTCAAGAGACAGATAGTTGGAAATGTCATCTGGATCGTCCTCAAAAGATGGGCACGCGATAATATCAAGGGTCCTGAGGTTGCCTTGCAAATAGATGTTGCGCACGGAGAGCAGGTCGGGGCAAGAACAGAGAGTCAGCCGCTGCAGCCGTTTCAAAGGGTACACTCCATATAGGAATTTAGTCAGGTAGGGAAAGCCAGAGAGGAGGAGGGCCGAAAGGTTATCAAGCATGCTAACGGACGAGATGAAGTCGTCAATGAAACGTGTCTTATCCCCCGCAACCCCAGCCGGGCAGCTGGTTGGCCATCCGAACTCAAAAGTGGTCAGGCTCGTCCTCCAGTTTGGAAGCAGGGATGGCGGAATACTGGTGACGCTGTTGCAGTGATTAAAGGTGAAAGATCGAACGTTGGAGAGGCTGGAGAGGGAATCAGGAAGATGAGTGAGGCTGCGGAGTTGGCACAGCTCCAAATTCTCCAGGGATGACATGCAACCCAGGCCCTCTGGAAGTTCCCTCAATGCAGAGCAATTTCTGATGGTCAGGCTCTTGAGAGAAACAAGATCGGACATGGCACTTGGGAAACGTTGCACCTCATTGAATTTCGTTAGTTCGAGGACACGTAGCGAAGTAAGCAGGAAGAAGGAATCTGGGAGCCTGGAAAGTGACGGGTTGTTTTTCAAAAAACACTCTTGAAGGTTCTGAAGGCAGCCAATGCTGTCAGGAAGATCCTCCAGATCAGTTACATCGGATAAACCTAGTTTGACCAGCGAACTAAGGCCTCCAAAGCTCTCCGGCAGGTGGTATAAATGCTTGCAGTGTAACAGTTGCAGCTCGGTCAGCCCGGTGAGAAGAGCAAAAGATTCTGGGAGCTCGCAGGAAAGGTCGCTGAACGTGAGCTGCTTCAAGCAACTCAGCTTGTTGAATTCATCAGGAAGGCTTGTGAAACCGACTTCCAAAAAGACCTCCGTCAGGGAAGACAGATTAAAGAAAGACGGTGGGAGACTTGAGAAATACGCATTAACGACCAGTGAGAGATGCTTTAACCCAGTGCAAGCAGTAAAGACTGCATCCAGACCAACCCAAGTCAAATCAGCAGGACCATGTGCGTTTCTGAGGTCAAGACGAGTCAACCCAGGACATGCAGATCCGAGGCCGAAAAGAAACTCGCACTTGTCATCAAAATAGCATTTGTTTATCGTTAGAGACGTTAATTTCGTCAACTTTGATAAGTACTTAAGGAGGTCAGTGTGTGCTGGAATCGCGTGATCTCTACTGGAGCGCATGGAGATGGAGGTCTGGGAACGATACGCGAGGCGACGCCATCGCTTGCAGACCGTGGCGTGGTTCAAGCTGCTAGGCGACTGCTGGCTTAGCAGGCAGAAAATGATGCATAGAATATCATCCGACAAATGATCGAATAACGACCACGCGGAAATACAAAGGCAGGGTGATGCTAGGGTTAGAGACGATTGGTCTCTATATCTAGACGACATGGCTCACACGATACGGAGACAGCAACTTGCTGCTGGAATTACGTGAGTGTTGGCAGGAAAACGAGATCTGAAGACTCACTGCTGGTAGGGTTATGTTCCACAACGGTCCTCTCGTCTGAAGAGTTTTTCGGCTGACAGACGAGAGACTGAAGAAAACAGGAGGTCCCCGAGATCTGCTGCTCCTTTTTCTATTTTGCTCTGGGACAGTGAATCGACACGGAATTCATGCGCCTTGGGAGACGTCCCATTCTGGGCTTGGAATCCCAAGGCTTCCACCCGCAATGGGTGGGAAAAACACTTCGTACTCTGCAACGACTCGTGCATGCTATTCCACGTCAGAAGCGACCCAGCTCTGGCCCAAAACCACGAAGTGACTACGTGGAATTACTAGATGGCCGTGATTTGCGGCGAATTATAGAATCTCGATCGAAGCTCCAAACCCCTCTGCAGCAATTGCTCTACAGTTGTTCATCTTGAATCCTAGGCGACTCTCTGGAAGGTATAATGCTGTAACTTCGGTGGGAGGTCGAGTGGGGAAAGTCCGTTCGCCCTCATCAGCGAAGTCGGCTTTTCCGCTTGCTTCGCCTGGTTACCATGTTTAGCGTTTTGAGAGTAAACATACTTGGGATTCTTTGTTTCTGTCAGATAGTCACGAAAAGACGAGGTAGAAAATGACTTTCGCGATTTCTTGCGACAAATTCTTCTCTATCCCTGGGCTACTCCTCCCCCTCCTCCCCCTCCTCTCATCTCCCCATCCCATCCTCTATGTTGCCTTCTTTCTCTCCCATCTCCCTACAGGTACCACTTCTTACTGATGCTTCATGTGTCGTGCGTGTGTGCTTGTCATTCGTCGGCAGTTTGACGCGAAGACATGTCGTGAAAGGCGGCAAGGATGTGATTGGAAATATACCTCGGGCGAGCGTACTTCCCTCCTGCCTGTGTATTTTACGTGAAGGTTGGCATAATAAAGTTATGTTTCGTCACTGCCTTCTCGTATGCACTTTCACTACGCTCCTGTTTCTGCGAGAGCAGATCTAGCCATCTCGTTTCTATATTCCCAGGCTATCCCCTTCAGTAGGCTTTCTTCTAGCGTCTCCGCAATTCTGGAATGACTCGGAGTCCTCGTTCGGATAACCCGGTTAGGAATGTCGGATTAAAAACTCGGCTAGGAATCCCGGTTTGCTAACCCACTAGCGTAAACTTTTTCCCTCCCCCCTTTTCACCCCTCCCCGTTCCGTTTCTCGCGACCTCCCTCCCCCCGCTTCCACTTCCTTCCTCTTCCCCTCGGTTCCGCCGTCCAGGCGACGCCCTGGCGATTCATACAGCATTGCCAGGGCCCGTCATCTCGTGCGTGCTCTGGGAACTGCCACGTCAGTCAGCCACTATGTGACGTGTCAAGGTGTCACATGCAGCTCTCAAGATCTGGTGGTTTGACTGTGCCTGAACGAAATCTCATTTCTGGTGTAAGCGGTGAACATTCGTGTTTCCGATTATCTGCGCTGGTGCTTTTGTGGCTGTATTGAAGTTAAGTTTTCAGCTTCCATGTTGACTCAACCTGACTGTTGCCTTTGATCCACCTGTTGCTAGCAATGATGTTTGTTATTTGGTTCTGGAACGCTGCCTATCAAATCTGACTGAAGCGCTCTCGACCACCCAAATTTCCCTCCGGCTTCCCTGCCTGCATCCGTCTGCAACGATCCACATCCCCTCTCCGTTCCGCTGTATAACAGCAGGTCTCCCAGACGCGCCTGCTTTTCAGGGCCCCACATTACCGCTTTCAACCGCCACACATCCAGCTGTACGGCCACTTTCCGCATCCGCTTTGTTTCTCTTACATTCATTCTTCATTCTATTTCCAGTGTTTAAATGCCCTCTTTCTCCCATCTTTTGTTTTCCCGCTCCCACCTTCGATTATTATCTTCATAAATTATCTCAATAACTCCTGGCAGTTGAATTGAGCCGCATTAAAAAAATGATTAGGCTACTCTCTTCCCCTTTCCTCCCCCAATGTCCTCTCCACCACTTTCTCCCGTTCCACCCAAGTTTACCCTATCTTCTCCCATCAGTCAATCGTTTCGGAACCCACAGCCGCCAGCACGAACCCTAGCAGAAGCAGCAACAGCAGAGCCATCAACAGCGGCAATGGCAGCGGCAACGGCGGCATCTCCCACCTCGTGCTCCTCCTTTCCGAACCAAGACGTTTTCCCTGTCTGCTGCCATCAGCCAATCGTTTCTGAACCCAGCCGCCAGCACGAGCACCACCAGCAGCGGCATCAGCCGCAGCGCTGTCAGCAGTGGCAGTGGCAGCATCAGTGGCGCATCTCCCGCCTCCTGCTCCTTTCTGCGCCCAAATGACTTGGCGGGAGTGGTGCTGCGTGCGCCTGCAGAACCTGTTGCAGCAGGCAGCTCTGAGGGGCAGTGCTGAGTGAGGGGCAGCGGCGTGGATGGTGATATGGCATGGCAGCAGATGGCAGAGCAGAGGGCAGAGCAGCGGGCAGAGCAGCGGGAGCAGCGGGCAGAGCAGGTTAGAGGGGGGCTTACATACAACTGCGCAGCAGAAGGCGTGGGAGTGGGTATGCGAGGATGGTGGCATGGAGAGCAGGTTAGATGGGGGCTGACAGCCGCGTGCAGCTCGGGCACATGACCAGCCTCGCCCAGGCAAGTCACAACAAGTGCACAAGTCTCCATTCACCCCCCTCACACTCTTCACCATGCACCTGTGTCAGTGCACACTCAGGTCACACTCTCTCAGTGCCCTCATCTCGCACCTTGCCATTCGCACCCTTATCCTGCACCCATGCCAGCATTTGAGTCTTGCCTGAGGGGTGTCAAGATTCGATGTCGAGGCTTTTCATGGCATTTGAGGTGGCGCATGAATGCTTGCTCCAGGCTCGCCCTTGCTCTCCGTCCATCCCCAGCATTCAAGGCCGCTGCCAACTGCATGCTGAAATGCCCTCTCTGCCTCACCTCCCTCACCTCCCTCAGCTCTCTCACCTTCGTCGCCTCTCTCCTCTCCATCTCACCTCCCTCACCTCTTACCTCTCTCCTCTCTATCTCACCTCTCTCACCTCTCTCACCTCTCTCACCTCTCTCACCTCTTACCTCTCTCACCTCCCTCACGTAGTTTTCTGTACAGCTTCCCTCCCGCCTCCCATCAGTTAAAACGGCCCCAACCCACGGGTGGGTGGGGGTGCCGCCAGTGCAAGTGGCCATGGCTGTGGAGGTCGATGCTGCTGAGGTGGCAGTCGCAATCTCCCGACTCCATTTGTCTGTCGGATGATGCTGCATGGTGCCTTGGCTCTCTCTCCTGCAAGTGGCCATGGCTGTTGGTGCTGCTGAGGTGTCGGATGTTGTGTTACGACACTTACTGTGTGTTTAGGCTGATTGTCATGACCCATTGATAATTCACTTGAATGCTTGTTGGAAGAAGTGATAAGAGATAAAGTACTGTACAGTAAAAGGACCATGAGTTGAGGATTTGATGGCAGTTGTGGTGTTGGTATTTGTGATGACAATGGAGGCAGTGGTGAAGGAGGAAGACGGTAACGGAGACCGTAGTGATGGTAACACCAGCAACAGTCAGCTAGATAAGTAATCACCATCAACATCATTCCTCCAGAAAATTCCTCCTTAACTACCACCGCCCGAGAAACAGCATCCCCACCTTCCTACCTGCACTGCCCATCTCAAAAGTCATCACAGCTAAGAAAACAACCTACGGTATAAAAAAAATATGCTACATGCCATAGTACCTAACTGGTCCCACCTGTGAATTTTCTCAGCCCGTACACCTCATTGATGCTTCTGGGGAGCACAGACCCATCAGTGTCGTTCACATGCCTACACTCATCCACGATCAGCTTCCGCAGTGCCTTCAGCTCACTCAAATCCACCGCAATGCCTCCAGCTGCGCACAGCCTGACAAAGAGATGGATCGGAGGCGCCTGTACTGTGTAGCGTTGGGACACCGGGAGTGGATGGGGCAGATTACCAACGACAGCTGGTTCAGGCGGGTAAACTGGGTGAGAGAGGCAGGCAGATGCTCAAGCTGCTCGCAGCAATTGAGGTGCAGCTCGCGCAACCGGGATAAGGCACCGATGGCAGGCGGAAGAGAAGCCAGGTTGAGCGCAGCGTAAACCCCCAAGAACGTCAGGTTCTGCAGCGCACTCACACTCGCTGGCAGCTCCCTCAACTTGCCCGCACTTCTCAGCTTCAGCTTCCGCAGCTGCGGCAAAGCTGACCCGATGTCGGCCGGCAGCCTTTGAAGATTCTTTGCGTTCTCAACAATCAGCGTGCACAGCCGAGAGAGGAATGTTAACGCGAATGGAAGCTCTTCGGCATCGCTTGCCAATCTCAGCTGCAAATGCTCCAGGCGCGATAGTCTCCTGCTCACAGCGAGCCCACACACCACCGCAACCTTTTCCAGGCGAAGTGTTCGAAGCCCCAATAGCCTGGAGACGTCTGGCAGAGCCATGACCTGCCCGTAATTTCCCCAACTCAGCCATTCAATCGAAGCCGGCAGGACTTGAGGAGGCTGTGTCAGCATGTCACATCGGGCCACCTCCAGCCGTTTGAGCCGTGTCAAGCCGTCCAGCCATGTGGGCACTGAAACCAGACTTTGGCAGTCAGCGAGAGAGAGAGCTTCAAGGGCCGTCAGGCACGTGAGAGACGCTGGAAGGGCCGTGAGATGAGAGCAGATCGAGAGGTGCAGCTTCCGCAGGTTGCTCAGCGCTCCCACGCCCTCTGGCAGCAACTCCACGTTGCACCAGTGCAGCTCAAGCCTTGTCAGCGACGCGATCTCGGATAACGAGGGCGGGAGATGCTTATGTCTGAGGATGTTTCTCAGAAGCAGCGTGTGGAGGTTACTCAGGCGTCCTATGTCTGCTGGAAGCGTCACTCGCCCGAGGCAGAGAGTCGTGAGAGCTGTGAGGCAGCCGAACCCTGCTGGCAGCTCGCAGATCAAGCCGCACGGGAGAAGGAAGAAGGTTTTTAGGAAGCTGAGCTGGCAGATGGAGGCAGGCAGGCTCGCAAGCGGCAGATTATCCAGAACGAGGGTTTTCAGGGCAGACAATCTCCCGATGTTTTCAGGCAGGCAGCTGAAGTGCGCGCAATCGATGACTGACAAGGTCTCGAGGTGCTCCAGGGAACAGAATCCTTCCGGCAGCTCCAAGGCATCGCACCTGGAAACGGTCAGCTCACGCAGACGCGGCAGCAACTCCGCAATGGCGTCCGGAAGCCGCCTCAATTCTCTGCAATGTGATATCTGCAGCCGTTCAAGACTTGTCAATGGCCAATCCGACAGCAGCACGTGGTGAATCTCCAACAATTTAATCAGCGGTAGCTGTGCGATGGCGAAGGCAGCCGAGCCCGAGTCACTAGGAGCAAACCTGGTCCAGCGAGAGAGTGAAAGGCTGGTGATGCTGGGAAGACGACGCACGTTGGAGAGTTGCTCCTCGGTCAACTCCGGGGAGGCGATGTGGAGAGTGGTGAGCGAGCCGAGGGTCTCCAGATCTGAAGCTTCTAAGGCGGAGGCGGCTGTTAAAGCCAGCGTGTGTAGACGCGTTAACCGGAAGAAAAAAGGTGGTAGCGCAACGTCCCGATGGAGGCAGAGCAGTGAAAGTTGCTCCAGCTGAGTGAATCGCTGGAAGAAGCGATCCAGGCCAGCTTCGGTGATCGGGTGCTGGTGCTTCGGACCGACATTGACCCGATGCTGGATGATCCCGCGTCCCACATGGAGAATTGTGAGCTTAGGACAGGACGATGTGAGGTGATTGAGGAAGGAGTCGTCTAGTGTTTCCACGCTGTCGTCGCACAGATGGAGATGAGTGAGATTCGGGAAGCACGCGACGGCATTCGAGAGTTCTTCGAGAGATATGGCAGGTTTTTGCTCGACGAGGAGGGTGGAGACGGCAAGTTGAGATACATCGCGCCAACGACGGCACACCGACGACACGAGGAAGATCTTGGCAGCGCTTGGAAAGGCAGAGGGGGATGAGATTGGAGACGGCTCTTCCTCAGGAATTGGATCTTCGTCTAAAACGAACGACCGAAGGTACAGTGGCTTCGAGTACAATGACAGCTGAGACCATAACGCGTCACTGTTCGATTTCCAAGGTGTTGACTCCTCACAATGCCACAGTATCCTAGCGAGGACGTCGTTGGGAAGGTCGTGAATATGTGTCGCTGTCTCCATCGTTTCCATAGCACACGAGATTGCTAAGATCCTATGAAAGAACTGGATGCAGAGACCTTGAAGCCTAGACCCTAAAAACGAGTGTGACTCGACTCGTGGTATCTCAACGGAAGATGAGGTCGTTCGGCAGTCGTTTGAATGATGCTCGCAAATTGGACGATGGATCTGTTCCAGCTTGAGACATTGTTCTCAAGTTGCTGTGAACTACGGTAACGTAGATCGATTAGGAAGCTAGAGCCGTTCGCACGGTCCTGCGAACCAATGACTAGAGCGATTGGGAAACAAGTGCAGTGTGGTATGGAAGAGCAATGGTGGTGAGGGCTGGATCTGGCTGGAGGGAGCTTCTTGTGATGGCATGGCAACTCTCGTGCCTCGTAGCTTGAACATGGTGGATTCTGGATCTCGGGCTTGGTTCTTCTGCCGTGGTTTCGCTGTCTTGTCGCTGAGCTTCGCCGCATTTCGTTGTGGAAGAACCCATGCGGCCCAGCAAGTTCACTCGACTTGTGTTACCGTTTCGTTCGTTGAGCCACATGGACGACGAAGCCGACGGATTTTCGAAGAAACAAAATCGCCCCAAGCCCTTTCGTGTACGGACGAACGAGTCTCGGTAACACGTTCGCAGGAAACAACTCTTCGCCAACTCTTCATTCGGCTCCCTCACACCACTGACAGACTTGACCCCAACATATTTGCTTCAATCCAACAGAACAGTACTTATTATCAGCAGAATTGTTCTCAATATCAGGACGCTACTTACTTTTCGGCTTCGAAGTACCTTCAGCTGCGGCTTTCTAAGCTCAAATTCCGAGTAGCACACGGCTCCAGACGCGCGCGCTACGATCTACGTTATTATAAACGCGTCTCCAGGCATAGGTGGGTCAGTTCAAGTGTCGTGAAACGGGACCACTCACAGATGTGGTTACCACCGATCAGGTACAGCAGGCCTATTACGCTTTCGCTTCAACTCGCCGCTACGCGTCTTTGGGATTATCGAGGCACGGACTTCTTCGAGCACCAGAACAATGGGTTTCCGAATCAGCTCGAAACACACGGTGATGAAGCACATGAACCATCATTCGCCGCGCGAGTCACCGAGCTTCCGCGAATTCCTTCCTCTTTCCTTATGTCGAGCGCCACGTTTGCGACCTCGGGAGATTCTGTAGCCACAGCGAGCCTTCCTTCCGTCTTTCCCTTTCCCTCGCGGAAACCTCCTCTAGGTTGCTCAACGTCTCAACATCAGAGCTCGAATTCCGAGTTAAATATCTACCTCCCTGGCTGGTGGCAACCATGTTTCTCTCAGACGACGTGCCTCGTCCCTGGCTGGTTGCCTGTCTTCGCTCCTTCCTCTCAGAGTCATTTGAAGGTGTTTGAAGCACCTCACATATCGTCACATGAGTTTGGTATCGTCAGTCTCGCCGCTCCCTCCTCTCCTTTTCCGTCCGCCCATTCAGACGACGCTTTGGCGGCCCGCGCCTTTGAAATGCCCGTCCATTCGTGTGCTCAGTATTGCCACGTCATTCAGCCGAGATGTGACGCGTGAAGCTGCCACACGCAACGCGCGAGGCCTGGTGGGCTCACTGTGTAAAATTCCTTCTTTCCCTGGCTTAAACATTATAGTCTGTGTGTTTCTGGAACCTCTCAAATTTTCAAAAAGCTTCTCCCTTTGACTTGCTCTCAGCCCACCCACAACTTCATTCCTTTCCTGCATCTCTTCCTAACACTGTCCCCTATGTTCTCCCTGTTCCCCCTCATCCCCCCCCCTAATTCCCCCTCCCCTCCACCCGCCCTCCTCTTCCCTAAACCCCCCCCCTCATCCCGCTTCCCCCCCCTCTCCATCTCCCTTCCTCATCCCGCTTCTCCCCCCTCTCCTTCCCCCTTCCTCATCCCGCTTCTCCCCCCTCTCCTTCCCCCTTCCTCATCCCGCTTCTCCCCCCTCTCCTTCCCCCTTCCGCATCCCGCTTCCCCCCCCTCTCCTTCTCCCTGCCTCATCCCGATTCTCCCCCCTCTCCTTCCCCCTTCCTCATCCCGCTTCTCCCACCTCTCCTTTCCCCTTCCTCATCCCGCTTCTCCCCCACCCCTTTCCCTCTCTCTTCCAGTGCATAGCAGCAGGACGCCCAGACACGCCTGTTGTTCAGGGCGCCACAGCACCGCTCTCAACCGCACCATCCCCAGCAGTATGGCCCTCCTTTGCTGAAGCTTCTCTCGTGCGCCTTCCCATTTCTTCCCATACCTACCGAATCCCCCCTTTCTTGCACCCAGCTCTCCCTTCTCCCATCGCCTACACTATCAGTCTCTCTCCCCCCAAGTGCTCTCTCCCCCCAAGTGCTCTCTCCCCCCAAGTGCTCTCTCCCCCCAAGTGCTCTCTCCCCCCAAGTGCTCTCTCCTCCTTCCCTCCTGCCCTCCCGTGTTTTCTGCTCTACGTTCCAAGCCTTCATTAAAGCACCACCACCACCACCATTTTATTACGTCCACGCTCCCTTTTCTCCTCTTCCCTCACCCCCTCTCCTCCACCCGCCCGTCCATCGTGTCTCCCTTTTCTCCCTCTCGTTGTCTGTTCAACAGTCAAACGCCCTCGAGACCACCGCAACCAGCAGCATCACCAGCACCAGCAGCCGTGCCCCACCAGCAACGCTGTCAGCACCAGGAACATCCTCAGAACTCTCTCTCTCTCTCTCTCGGACCGCATGCTCCTCGTTTCCGGGCCCAGACGGACTGGCGGGAGTGCGGCTGCTTGCACCTCCCGCATCCCCATGTGCTGACCCCGCCACTAGCGTCACTGGCATCACTGATACCTAAGCTGCCACTCATAGTGCTGCTGCTAGTGGCGGGGATGGAAGTAGGGGGGACAGGGGAAGCAGGCAAGCGCTCAGGGCGGGGCAGGGAAAGGGGCGGAGCAGGGGGCGTAGGAGTGGATTTGTGAGGAGGTGGCGAGGAGGCCCGGGCAGATCAGCATGGTGCAGCTGGGAGGGACCCATGACCAACCTCGCCCGGGTGAGTGCTTGCAGGAGTGCTTGACTCCTTGCCCCTTGACTCCTCGCCCCTTGTTTCCATTCCAAGCATCCCATATCCTCCCTCCCCTCTCTCCCCTCTCTCCGCTCCCTCTCCTCCCTCCCCTCCCTGCCCTTGCTCTGCTGCTTCTGCCCTCCCACACCTCCCTGCCATTGCTCAGGCCCTCTCCCAGTGTCCCTCCCTCGTGACCAAGGTTGCTGCCATATGCATGCCGCGTGTGGGAACATGATTACAGCAGCATGCCAGTGGGTATTCGATAGTGAGAACATCGGCGGCATGAAGAAAGCAACATTGCGGGGCGGGGATGAGAGAAGTGAACCCTCAAGAATGATGGCAATACGATCTCATGCGAAGCAGCTGCAATTCTGTACGCGCAGCGCATGATGAGAGAAACACGCATAGATGATGCTTTTTATGCACGCCCCATAACCCTTTTCCCTCTTTGTCCATCCATCCCCACACCCCCTTTCTTAACCCTTCTCTCCGTGCTTTGCTCCAGCCACATCTCCTTGTCTAAGTCCAGGCAAGGACAAGGAGGAGGTTTCGAAGTGGAGGCAGTGGATGGATGGATGAAGGCACACGGTGGCATTCCTTCCAGGCCTGTTTCGTCAGAGGGAGATGGCACACCTTCTACAAGGGTTGCAACTGCCATGGCATGGCATGCATTGGCTCATATGCTCGCACCTTCTCGTTTTGGTGAGGTTGGGGGAGGAGAGAGGTAGGTGATGCAAGGATGTGAGGGGTAGGTGAGATTGTGGTTTCATGACTGAACGAGGGGTAGGTGAACATTTTGTTTAATGAGTGGATCTGAGTAGAATGTGTGACGTTACTATCCCATCCCACGTGTCCAATCATCCTCCTATATTCCGTATCATCGTTCCACATGCCATGTCATGGTCCCATCTGCTGTGTAATCCACTCAACTACCTCAGGCATTTTTTCTTTGCTTCCCAATCGCCATCACCCTCAGCATCAACATTCTAGGACCAGGACAGGCAGATGCTTCAGCATTCCTGGACCAAGTCCTTCTTGGACTCACCACATGCTTCACTCCATCACTCCATAACTCTACCAACTCATCCCTCTCTCAGCTGTTGCAGACCCACCGGAGAATATGCGTTGCACAAGCCCAAGGCACGACATCTCGTGACGTGACGCAAGCGCACTGGCATAAGGAGAAGGCACAGCGTGGATGAGGGTCCAGCAGCCCGTGTGTGTGGCGTGAGTGTGTCAGCTGCTCATGAAAACAGCTGGTACAGATGCAGCAGCATGGCAGCTGGTGCAGCAGGCAGTGCAGCCGCAGGGCTTGCAGCTCCACTCGTGCAACATGGGATGGGGGTTCTCCTGGTTAATAGCGTTCTGTTGTACCTTTTACCCACCCCAGCATTGCGTACAAGAGCGTTCAACCAGCTTGCCAAGCAGCCCTGCACGATGCTACTACTAGTGGTAAGAGTCCTCAGCAATAATGCTTTCACCGATGGTGATGCAGGCACACATGTAAGAATAGTATTGTGAGAGGATAAATGCAGTGGGCGCTCTGTAACATTGTTGATTACCGTAAGCTCAATTGGTGAATGTGTTGGCATTAAGAATTCCTTTTTGTTTAAGCTACATGACAGCACGGAAGAAAGAAACAAGATGTCAGTACAGTGAATGCCGTATATTGTGTGCCTATCTGCACCACACTGATGTCAAGTTCAAAACTTGAAAAAGGCAAATCCTCTTCAAAATGGTAAACACATACGGTAAGGTAAAATATCCATGCCCCGCCTCTACAACCCAGCAATCATAACCACACCCACCAAGGAACATCCAACCATCCCAGCTACCTTCCGCACCCCACCCAGTCACTTCTTTCCTCCAAATGATCCCTTCCCCAGCAGCCTACCATCAACACATCCGCTGTCCAGGTTCGGAATCTTGTAGATAGTCCCGCCTTCCACTTCTTCAAAGCACGGACATGCAGTGATCACGAGAGTCCTGAGGCTGGTGAGACTGCTCATGGTCTCATGCAAGTATGTCATGTTAGCCCAGTTGCTCAAAGTCAGCCGCTGCAGTCTTGAAAGATCCTCAATTTGATATGGAAGCTGATTCAGTTCATGGAAACCAAAAAGGAGGAGGGATGTCAGACTCGAGAGATGGCAAAGGGACAACATGAAGGCATGTTGATCCTTATAGCCACCCGTACAGCTGGCCGGCCAACTAAACTCGAGGGACGTCAGCTTGCTCCAATGCTGGGTCAGGGATGGAGGGACATTGACAACACCATCGCAGTAGGTGAAGGAGAAGGTGCGCAGATTGGAGAGCCTGGAAACGGCCTCTGGAAGATTGGAAAGACCTTTGAGCTGGCTCAGCTCGAAATGCTCCAGCGACGACAGACGATCCATCCGGTCCATCAGCTGTGAACAATTCTTAAGTATCAGCACGTGGAGGTTAGAAAGGGGGCAGAAGGAATCAGAGATCGTGTGGAAGCACTCGCAGTTTTTAATGGCTAGCGTCTTGAGAGAAACGAGGCCTGATACCCTTGCTGGGAGGGATGCAACCCTGATACAATACACGACCTCCAGAACTTGCAAAGAACGGAGATCGAAAAAGGAATCCGGGAGTTCTTCTATGAGATTATTGTGATGAAAGTAAATCTCTCGGAGGTTCTGAAGCTGGCCGATGGTGTCAGGAAGAGCGCTCAAACCACCCATTTCGCAAATGCTGAGTTTGACCAATGTCTTCAGCTCACCGAGGGAATCCGGTAGACTCTCTAACGGTCCGTCATTTCGGAACAGCTTCAGCTCGGTCAGCCTCGTGACGTGACCGAGTGATTCTGGGAAGTGGTGAATCCACCTTGCGGCGAGTGTCAGCTTGGTCAGGGAAGATAAATGGTCGAAACTATCAGGATAATTGCCGAAGTTGGCGTTCAGATAGACCTCCGTCAGGGATGAAAGATTGAAGAAGGATCGTGGCATCTCACAAGCGGCTTCGTGATTATGTGTCATGATGTCAAGGGAGAGGTATTCCAACTCAGTGCACGCTCTGAAGAGGGCATCTGCACTTTCATACGTCAACCCTTCACCACAATCGCTGTTCAGGTCAAGATAAGTTAACTCAGGACAGACAAATTCTAGGTCATGAAAAAAATCGTCATTATATGGATCTAAAACGCAATTGTTTATCATAAGAGAAGACATCCTTTTGAACTGGGAAAGGGATGTCCGAAGGTCAGCATCAACTGTAAGGTCAGGCGAGCTGTTGGCGATGGACGTCTGTGCAGGGTAAGCTAGGCGATTCCTGCAAAGATAACTCTATCAACGGGAGCTAGACTACGGGCTAGGCACGGTGTAGGAGGGATCTCTGCGTTCGTTCGTTCCTTAGTCGTTTCCAAGTGCTCACACTACTTGCTAGTTCACGGGGAAATTGGCAAGAGTTCCACTAGGAAAAGTTCAGAACAATGATACAACAAAGTTGGCAAGACAAGGCTACATCAGAGCTAGCATGCAAGCAGGTCGACTGCCAGCGAAGCACGGTCGACCGCGCTCCAGCACGACTTGGTCGACCGCGCTCCAGCAGTGCAAAGTCGACGGCGTGCCAACGCTGCAGGTCGACGGCGTGCCAGCGTTGCTCCTGCAGAACAGCAGCACACCTACTTTGCAGGTGCTCGCAGATGATTGGTGTGCAGTGCCTTGTCACCTGCACAACGCACACACCAAGTCGTCCTTGTGCTTACGATTGCACCTGATCAGCCACGTCGACCTCGGGATACCATCACCGAGGTCGATCTCGCCAATACCACCTGGGCGACCGTCGCACTCCTTCGCAGAACCTCGTCACCCAGGTAACCTGGTCGACCGGGCAACCACCACGTCGACCAGCTGCTTCCTTGTGTGCCCGTCGACCTCCCAAGTCGACGACCACCTTCAGTCGACCTCACCAGGTCGACCACAACCTTGGTCGACCAGCTCCAGGTCGACAACCCACCTGGTCGACCAACCCCAGGTCGACCAGCACATCTGTCAGCCGACCACACCCAGTCGGCTTCCCCTGGTCGACGTCACCCAAGTCGACGCCCTTTACTGGTCGACCAGCCGAAGTTGGCGCCCTCCCAAAGTCGGCGCCCTTGCAGTGGCCCCCGTGCAGGTCGACCAGACCCGTCGACCAGCTCCCTCACTGCTTCAGGACCGACCACGAAGTCGGCTCCGCCCAAGCGAGGACGAGGCCAACCACAACTCCCGTTGACACTCCCCTGCCGCGTTCACGCTTGGGCCCCCAGCCCACACGGCAGCACTGCTCGGAGAATAGCTCGTCGGCGTGCACCCAACACACAGCACGCTGGTCACCGCACCAGCCATGCAAGAGGGCATGGCACCTACTGCTGCACGTCGTTGTCACCGTCGCCCACGTCGACCAGGCGCACTTGGCCGATTGCAATGGAGCACCGGTTGAAGGCCGGGTAGTGCAGCGCCTTCGTCAGGAAGTCGGCTGGCTGCTCAGCGGTCGGGATGTACCTCAGTGAGAACTTCCCACGCTTCACCATGTGCTGCAGCTAGGCTTGTCGCCGTTCCATGTGCTTGAGGTTGCCTGTCAACCCCATGCCCTCGGCAACTGTGATGGCCGACTTGTTGTCCACCCGAAGGACAGTCGGCGTCCCGGCGTCCAGCTGCCGGAATTCTGAGAAGAAAACGAAGTCGACGTCCCTCCTTGCCGGCTTCTGTTGCCGCCACGTACCCCGACTCGGTCGACGACAGCGTCGCGCATTTGATGTGCTGGCTTGACCAGGAGACTGCGGCCCCTCCGTAGACGAACACGTAGCCGCCCGTGCTCGTCCGGTTCTGCTAATCGCCGTCGTCATCGTCGTCCACGAAGCCGACCAGCTTCAGCGACTCAAGTCCACCGCCAAACTCCAGGGCGGTGTCACGAGTGTTGGCGAGGTAGGCGAGGCAGCGGTCGACCTCGCGCCAGTGCTGGTCGCTCCTTACCGTGAGGCCGCTCCCCAGCTTGCTGCAGGCAAAGGCGATGTCAGGCCTCGTCGTTGTCGCCGCAAACTACAGCGAGCCGACCTTCTGCCGGTACTCCTCCTCCTGGCGCTCCTGTGCCTCTTCGTCGTCGAAGGTGAGCTCCGCATAGGCGTCGACCGAGACCGGCGTCTTCGGGGTGCGCCCAGTCTGCTCCTCGTCGAGAAAACGCCTACGCAGCTTGTCTGCATAGCCCTGCTGATGGAGCCACAACTTCCTCGCCGACCTGTCGCGCACGATCTCCAGCCCGAGGTACATCTGCACCGGCGAGATCTCCCGAAGCTCGAAGGCAGCCTCCAGCAGCTCCTTCAGCTCCTTCAGTATCTCGGCACTGCTGCTGGCGGCGAGCAGGTCGTCGACGTAGACCAACGCCCAGCAGGCCACCTTGTCGACCTTGAAGTACAGAGCCTCGTCGACCTAGCTCTTCTTCCACCCGGCGTTGACCAGAACGTCGTTGAGCGCCTTGTACCACAGCAGCGGCGACTGCTTTAGCCCGTACAGGCTCTTCAGCAGC